CCCTGTTCTCGTAGTTCCTCAACATGTAATCGATATACACGGATTGTACAAACTCACTTTTTTATTACCCGCAAAACCACCATGATAAGTTCATTATGTCTTTGTATTTTATACCTAGCACATAGATATTTCAATATACGGAAGGGTCGCGGCCCCACCCATTCGCTTGTTCTCTATAGATAAGCAAATAAACAACTAATGATTGACTCGCATGTACTAAAATGCATCTGATACCTGCTATTGCGGACAACTACCTTATCTACCCGTGATCCTCTAATAAGAAGATGATGTTAGATCATTTGATACTTCGACCTCATTATTACCACTATCTATGTTGGAACGAATTATTGTCTACACATATGGTCACTCTAACCCGCATAAATATACGATGCATAACCATCGACTTATAATGAAAACCGGACTACGGCTAAGATTCGTTGACCTATTGCCCTCGGTCCCTTGATCTGCAAATAAGTTACATCGATCGTACGCTTCCCTCAAAACCACCATAATAAGTTCATTTTACGTTTGTATGGTCTCTTTCTATAGATTAGCGAATATACACTAATGATCAACTGATATGTACTTGATCCTTACCACGTGGGCAGTTTCCTCATTTGACTATGATCCTCTGATGAAAATTAGACGCTATGATATTTTAATACCTGCTTGCTTTTATCAACTATAATAGATTCTATAAACATTTGTTTCTCGATAGTAAACGAATTTTCTAGTCCAAGTTTTTCGTTTCGAATCAATGCGCTAATACCCCAACTACACTTCGTGAATACACCAATATTATTATAGACACGTGTATATCTCATAATGTCAATATTCACATAGTTATGCTAACGATGTATTATCCGATCCTATCATTGTCACAAAAGTGTGTCGCGAGCCCGCAAAAAAACGCATCATGACATGACGAAATATACATGACAAAAGTGTGTCGCGAGCCCGCAATAAAATGCATCATGAAATTACACACACACACACACACACACACACACACACACACGCACACACACACACGCACACATACACACACACACGCGCACAAACACACACACCCACACACACCCACACACACCCACACACAGTTGTCCCCCTGCATCATTATGTAACCAAACTGCAACTGACCACAAAATTTCAACTGAAAAGAATAGAACTAGGACATCCATCGGTGCCAATGGACACCTTCACCCCGAACATGTTTGATTTAGAAAGAAGAGCTCTTGGAAAAGGTGCATCCTTGTGATGGAGGGGCAAAACTGCAAGCAGGGCAATTCTCACAAACAATCAAACACAAACAGAAGTGAAATAACAGACAGATGGATGACAATGAAAGAGAAACTAAAATTCCTTAAAAAAAGAACAGACCGTCGAAAGGAAACCACTAGCTTCTGCATGGACTGGCAGTGGCCGACTGGGACGGCCGGCAGACCATAAGCGCGCAACATCCACTTCCTTACAACCTCCGCTTCAAGGATTGGACAACAATCGACCCTGGCACCCCGCTTTGCCCTCCCTCGGACTTTCCAGACCTCGTCCCCCCACACATCAGGTCACTAGCGGAACTACAGTGGCACCCGGGGGGTGGGAAACCTGCGTCCCACTGATCATGTCTGGTTTCAGATGGTGCAGATGGCAGAGGATAACAAGGATTCAGAATTTCAGAGGCAAGTCTTGCAAACGCAAAGGCGACACCAAGCATTGACAAGAAGGGCACAACTCCGGACACAGGCTAGCGTCACAGGAGCGTATCTCGCAGCCATACGGCTGAAAGTCCGGGGTCTGAAGTCTAGTTGCATCCCAAACAAGCAGCTTTTAACATTTATGATTTTTTCTGCATCCCAATCTATTCCACTCTATCGCATGGCTTTCTGCGATTCGCTGCATACTTCTCTATTTCACTCTGTGTCACGGCAGAAATGAGTTGCATAACATTTGTTTAATGTAAGAGACGCTGGGCTCGGCTTCCAGCAGGTGCAGCTCCCCACCAACAGATGGAGCCTTCGATGCAGGGGGGGCACTAAGTGGGCTGCTCCTACCACCTCACTAAAGGGATCCCCACACCTCGAAGTCATTATAAAAAAAAAAAAAAAAACAGGACATCGTCAAAATTGGAACGATACAGAGAAGATTAGCATGGCCCCTGACTCAACTCGTCCAGAAAGACAAGCGAGTGCGCCGTACCGGTGAGCACCAAGCCAGCAGGGGAAGGGAAGGTGGCGCTGTGTGGAAGCTGAAAGGCAAGGGGGATAGGGTTGAGGAAAAGAAGCAAGCAAGAGAACAGGTGGACAGGAAAGCAAAGGAGAGGTCGGGAAGGAAGCGAACAACTCCAACAACTACCAGTACGTCATGCCGAGCCATTTCAAGCCGCCCAAAGAAACGAGGTAAGATCGTTCCCCATCAGGCAAGCCAGCGACGCTTGCGGAAGATGACGAGAGAACGCCAACGCATTCGGCAGGAGCATCATCCTCCATTAAGACGCCATCATCAAAGGACGGTTTAGAGTCGCCTTGTGAAAGTCTAGGATCCGTTATTTCCCATAGATAAAACGACAACAAGACAGATAAGGGTTGTCGCTTCTTCTTTTTAGCAAATACGGACAGGAGCTATAGGAACGAGTGGATGAACAGTCGAACTTCACTGTAGCGCCCCTTTCGTACATTTTTTAAGGTTGCATCGCCCAATACACAAAAGGAAAAAAACGGAATAGTACTCCCACTGGATTGAGATTGTCCAGCGAGTGTTAGTCCAGTCTCACCTAACTCGTTCGCTCAAGCCGGGTAGTGAAAGGGAACACGCCAGTCTCAAACGCACACGATCCAGGTCGCTTGACGGTTGCCCGCCACCCACGCCCTCTGCAACCAAAACTGCCCATCATTACTATACCCTAGGCTACCCCCCCCCCCCCCCCCCCCCCCCCCCCCCCCCCCCCCCCCCCCCCCCCCCCCCCCCCCCCCCCCCCCCCCCCCCCCCCCCCCCCCCCCTCACCCCCCCGTGATCCGTGACATAATTCCTCTCGTACCCTTCTCCCCCCCAGGAACCCATCGACCAACCAAGCAACCCCCGACAAACCTGCCCAACAGTCCCTACCGCGTACCAACCCCCTTCGCCACACCCTCGTTACATCCCCATACCCTCCCTCCTCCTCTGCCTCAGTGGCCACTGGGCCGCGGATCCCAACAACGACCCTAAGTCCGATCAAACCCCACCTGGCTAGGTTCGCCCCCGAGCCATCACGGGCACTTGACGAAGGACCTTGAGATTAAGACGAAGCCCAGAAGAAGGACGTGAACACCCGATCAAACAGCTCTGCCAAGTAATGGGCCAAAAGTCGGGGCGCGTCCAAAGTGAGGACAGTTGATTTAGGAATCTAACCACTCTTTTAGTCAATTCCTATTGATTTGTTAAATTAATTAACACCTTTCACACAACAGCATTACGAGCCATTGGAATCCTGTTATTTTATCTGATTGATAGTATAAACCATAACAACCGAGCACTAAATTGGGAAGATAACCCCTGCCCAATCCATAGCACTGCCACAGCAAATCGAAATCGGGCAACAATGGCCAACTCCTATTGTAAGGCAGCATGCAGGGGGATGGAAAAGAAGGACAAAACACCAGCAGAACCGCCACCAAGATCGTCTCCCACGGCCTCCCAAAGCTCGAGCACCCAACCTCAAACCCCATCCGAAGGAATCCAAATCTCCAATGCAGCACCAAGAACTCTGGTACAAAGGGCTATCGAGTTTTTGATGAACAAAACAGAAATAAAAGCTGAGATTATCAAAACAAAAAAAAGCGTAAAAAAAACAGCGAGGGAGAAGAGGTGGAAGTTGAAATTTGGGAATATCCAAAAGAACAATTGTAATCCTTCAACGAACTATATGAGAAGCATGCAGTGCACTTCAACTCCACAAACAAAAACAGGGACCTACCACTGAACGAGAAGACGAAGTGGGTCATGGACCATCTGAAGGAGTTGGAATGCATTCCGGGAACATAACCGGATGTCTCATACCACATGAGGGGAAGGTACACTGTAATGGTCTTGTGCATCGACCCAATGTATGCCCAGTTTCTAGTCTCCCTAGGAGCACTGAAATGCAAGGGTTCGGTGATCACGATCCAATAATGGAAACCGCCTAGGGAGCCCCAAGCGGACGCATCCAGGCATCATCAGACGATGCTCAGAAACCGTTTCTGGGTACAATTTGACAACTTGTCAGAGGGCCTACACAGTTCGTGCAGAAAAGACTCCAGGAAGAGTATCCCAACAACCCAATCATCGATTGGCTGCCAGCAAACCCGGAATTCATGGCTCCGAACCACGACGCAAGAGTGGCTTGCTTGGAAGTCTCGTCAGGCACATCCCCAAAATTCCCAGATGTTTGTAGGAAAAATGGACAAAAAATAAACGTGTTCATTTTTACGAAAACAAATCCCTTCTGCTTTAAATGCAGAAACAAGGGACATCTAATGCACTACCCCCTATACAGGGAGAAAGGAAGGAAAATCACACTCAAACAATCAAGGTTGGTTGAATGTGATGCAAGGCCAGGGATGTGGTACATCAACGACCCACAGTATAGAGGTTGGGTCTTTGACGACAACCTGAAGAACCCCAAATGAGTGTGGGTGCTCTAGGGGGAGCCCAAGCTCAAACCAGACATTTACCCGTCGTACGACGGTAGATGGAGGGCAGCAGGCGCCAAGAGAATGGAAGACAAAACCACAGGCTACCTAAAACAAGAAGTTATCCGGGAAGCAAGCATATTGGACGAGAAACAAAGGCTGGAAACAATGAATGAGCTGCACACAATTGGCCAGAATGCAGAAAGGGCATACCTTGAGAATCAACGGGCCAGATCTCCACCAGAAAAAGTCCAGGGCTCTACCTGCTCAACACCGAAGTCCTCCTCCGCTAGCGGAGAGGACAAGGACGGCGTGCAAATGGACAGGTCCCTGAAACAGAAATCGGACGAAGCCGTGAACGACTCTTCATCAATGACCTCAATTAAGGGGAGGCAAAGATCAGTCGGACTGGCCAACGCGCTGTCAATGGACAGGGGCACGGGGGGGAGAGCGGGCACAATAGAACAGGAATGGAGGACTCCTCTCAGGGAACAAAGAAGGATGTGAACATGCAAGGATCACATCACTCCTCTCAGCCAACCGGCCCCAGTGAAAACCAGACCCCGGACGCAAGTCGGGACAGAAAGAGGAACAGATTGGAGGGGAGTGAAAACCAGAGAACAGAAGAGGAGGAGGCAGATGGAGACGCTGAGGACAGTGCTATACAAGACTCGGAGGACGAGGGCTCAAAAGAAGAGGATGAGGACATGGGTGACGAGGAAGATGAACAGGGGCAAAGTATGGACTCGCTCGACTACGTGCAGCAGTATATCCGCTCCTTAGAACTGGACAGAATAGTGGAACTAGAGGTGAGACTCGCGCACCACAAACACCTGCGTAATCTCAAGTCAGCAACCAAAGTAGAGGACAACATAAGCATGGAGAAAAGATTCGAGATCCTCAAGAAGGAAAAAGAGCTCAATGAATTTTATGCAGTGCAATACAGTATGAAGACAAGAACCGAGAAGAACATAATCACAGTGGATACAAAAAGTTATGAACAAAGGTTCACCTGACCTAAAACGTACACTGAGCACCGAGCGAAAAGGATAGTGAAGAGGAATAAAAGGGATAATGAACAGGGATCCATAGAAGAACCTCTCCACGATACCTCCTCTACAACAGGGGAGGAGGAGTCGATAGAAGACCTCAGAAGGCACGCCGCAATTCTGGAAGCTCAAGTTAACGTACTGAGGGATCAAAACAAGGAGTTGGATGATCAATGCATAACCCTCAAGGATGTAGCAAGGGGTGGCCGCAAGGAAATAGAAGCAGCGGCCAGACTCGGCGCACGCAGCGGCCCTAGGCGAAGAACGATAATCCCGTACCACTGGAACAACAACCTTGAAACCTGGGAAGTTGCCTACCACGGATCCAACTTGCTGATCTCAGTACCGGACCAGGATTGCACACAAAACACCTTGCACGAGCTCATATCGGACAGCATACCAGCAGAACTGAGGATCTTGGGGTCCAAAACAAAGGGGAGGAATGGAGGGACCAAGAGAATGAAGTGCAAGAGGTGGACCTGCGACCCCCTTACTGGTGGAATTAGAGGAGTCGGCTGGCCTCAAGGGTGATTTGTGTTGGGTACCATGGCTAGTTGTGGAATCTATGCCATATGGCTTATTAGGGGGAAAAGTTGTGGCAAAAAGGGCTGCCTTGAGCAGCGCACTAGTTACAGCATATGTGTTCACACTGTCCCCCAAGAGTCTCAGGCAAAAGCTGCAGGGATCTGCCTCAACTAGGAGGGAGATAACAACCGTCGGCTCCTAGACACCATCCCCTCACACCATTCAATGGGGGTCAGAAGTGACTTGCAACAATGGCGGATCAGGAAGGAGAAGGGTTAAGACCCCGGGTTCGCAGAAAATTCGGCCTTCCCAAGCCTGAACCGTACCTTACAATCATTTCATGGAACGTTAATGAGATGTCCTCTATACTTACCAACCAGAGGAAATGGGATTACCTAATCAAGAGCACGGACTGGTTCAGGCGATCCCCACCTGGCCTTCTATGCATCCATCTAACTACCTCCGAGGAACACCGAAGAACTCAAGCTCATATAATAAGAAAACTGAAATGGGTAAAAGAAGTAATATGGGCCTCGTCCCCGCGTCCCAATTCAGCAGGTGTGGCCATCCTCATGCATGATAGATCCAGAGCAGTGAACACGATCACTAGGACAGGGTTAAGCTCAAATGCAGAAGAAGGAAGATGGGCTACCGTAGACTTTCAAATACACGAAGAGAAGTTTAGGCTACTAATAGTCTATGCTCCAAATTCTCGGAACAAAAGATCCAGACTAATTGCAGACCTCCTACCGAGGTGTGATTCCAATATACTTGTACTGGCAGGGGACTGGAACGCGGCACTGGACCTAACTAAGGCCCGTTTTTCAGGAGCAGCTTCAAGGACAACGAAGGCCACGTGGAGTGAAGCCCTGCCCATCCACGAGGTGATGATGGAAAAGGATCTAATAGATCCATTCAGAGTTCTACACCCAAATAGCAAGGAATGCACTTACCTAAAAAGGAATAGAAGCCAGCACATCTCAGCATCCCGAATAGATTACTTCTTGACAACAGGAGCGCTCATAGGTGCAATCCATAACACAGAGATAGGAGAACTCCCCCGTTACGCAGGACTCGACCACAAACCTATCAGCCTGTGTCTTAACCTAGGGACTGCCGCCAATAGAAGGCGAAGCTTCTTCACAATCAACAACTCACTTCTAAACCCACCAGAAATAAGGGACGCGGTTTTGTCAGCATGTATTAATCATGATTACACCACCCAGGACTTCTCGGACTTGGTTGTGGCCCTGACGAAATCCACGACTAGAGCCTCCATAATTATTGCCTCTAAGAGAAAAGCAAGAGAGGAAGAATTACAACAAGCAATAAGGGTAGCGGAAAGGAATCTCCTAAGCGACCCAGGGAATATCTTATACGAAAGAGTCTTTGAACAATCTAGGCAGGAGATGTCCGAATGGGAGGAGTGGAGGAACAAAGGCCTGAGGCTGAGAGCCCGAATGAAGGAATGGGAAGAAGGCGAGAAAATGACTAAATAATTCTTCAACTGAATCAAGACAAACGCAAGGAATGCAAACATAGAAAAACTGCAGACGGAACATGGACTGGCATCGAACCCACGACAGATGCTAGCAGCAGCAGCAGCCTTCTTTCAAGACCTCTACACATCCAACGAGCAGGACTACTCACACCATGAAACCTCACACGCAAGAGCCAAATTCCTGACTCACTTGGACAAGACTCTCTCAACAGAACAGGCGACAACTTTGGATAAAACGATCTCTGAACAGGAAGTCTACGAAGCACTGCAGTCAATGAAACCGAACAAGACCCCAGGACTGGACGGATTATCGAAGGAATTCTGGGTCTCCTTCTGGCCAGCTCTAGGCATAAAATATCTCCAATTCCTAGAGAAGGCATGGAGTACAGGCCAGTGGGCGAACTTCAAAGCACTGGTGTAGTTTCCCTAATCTACAAAAAAGGCGACCCAATAGACATTAGAAACTACAGACCCATCTCACTGCTCTCAGTAACATATAAAATTCTAGCTAAATTGCTAGCCAACATAATTAGAACTATCACAAGGAACTGCTTCCACATGGACCAGATAGGATTTATCCTAGGAAGATTCATACTGGATAATGTAATGACCCTCAATGAATCAGTTATATACATTAAGGATAAAGAAAATGAACGCAACGATATTGTTCTTCGACTTTGAAAAAGCGTACGACCAGGTCAATTGGAACTTCTAACAACAATGGATGGAAATAATGGGGGTAGGTCCAAACTTCAAAAAATGGGTCCGGTTCCTATACTCGGATGCCCATGGCCTAGTACAGGTCAACGCCCACCTGTCACAACCATATTGAATGTCCCGCTCTGTGAGATAGGGAGACCCGCTAGCCGCCCCAATTTTCCTCTTTATCATGAAAGCAATTGCCTCCTTCCTAAGAAAAGACCCTTCGATCGAAAGACTGGTAGACGACGGACAACACCCAATCAGCATAACCACCACCATTCTCTTCGCGGGCGATTTGATAGTCCTAATACGAGCCTCAGACTCCTCCTTCCAAGCCCTCACTCGGGCTATGCAAGCCTTCCAAATTGCATCAGAAATGAGAATTAACTGGCCCAAAACAATAGGCTGGTGGCTAACAGACCCACAAATTGACCCCCCTCAAAGTACCCCGATAGGAATGAACTAGTCACGTGGCAACGAACCCCTCAGATTCCTAGGAATCCAAGTTTCCAAGCAAGGCACTAACCAAGCATTTGCGCTTGCCATAATGAACAAGATGATTGCTAAACTGCGTAGCTGGTCCAATGTCTACATCTCAATATTTGGCAGAGCCCTGATCCTGAATGCATCAATTTCGCAATGATGTGGTACGCTGCCAAGATTTGGAGCCCACCTAAGCAACGAAGATCTCAACTCAGAAGAAGGGCGGCCGCCTATTTGTGGTCTGGCGACCCGTCTAGGGACAACTTCATCCCTAAAGTGGCATGGAAGTATATCACCTTGAAGAGATCGCAAGGAGGATTGGGAATCCTGGACCCGGACACTCAAATCCAAACCCTTCAAACGAAGTGGATCATCAAATTAATAGCCAATAACAGTCTACCTTGGAGCAAGCTAGGACTCCGCAGAATACAACAAATAGCCAAATACAAAACCCCTGACAACATGCGCGGTCTCTTCTGGATCATGTGCAAGTCTTGTGCTATGAAGGGAGGGGCGCAAGCAGACCACCAAAGACGAAGAACAAGGGGAGGACTTTTGGAGGCAACTATTGAAAACATGGAGGGAAATTCTACCAGCCAAAGTAAGAGAACCAACAACTAAAGAAGAAGTCCTCAGGCAACCGATCTTCGGCAACCAAGCTCTGTTGGACCCACAAGGGAAACCATGGACCCTAACCACAAAGGATACAAAATGGGGGTCCTGGCTACAAAAAGAGTGTGGCAAATCAAACACCTTTGGCATGATTCGGACAAGAGACAGAAAACGGTAGGAGAACTAAGGGAAACCTTGAGGGGATGCCACAATCTACAAGCCAACCTGAACAACATCCTGATTGCAATACCAGAGAGACGGCATGCGAGTGGAGAACAGGGGACTGGGCAACACGATGGTCTGAAAACATCCCCACTTCCGCCTACCAGTTCCGCTCAAGGGAGGGACCAGGGAACACATGGTTACTATGTGACATATACTCGATCGAAGACCCGGGATCAACCACAAGCCTCTTAGGTCGTAACGCCTCTGCAGAGATCGCCATTCCAGAACAAGCAATAAGAAAAGTAAGAGTGGTAAAAACCGAGGAACGACGCATATGTGAACCTCTAGTGGGCATAGCAGACTTGGAAGTTGACCCAACAGAATGGGCTTGGAAGGAAAGTCAGGCAGATTAGGAGTAGAGAAGCCTAACAACATCCTAGAATACCCCACTAAGCTGGGATATACCCTAAGAATGAGATCGATCTCAATAACCCAAATCATCAACCAAAGATGGGAAACCCACCTCAATCTGCCACCAAACCAAACCCTCATCACCTCCTGGAGTAGACTACTTGCCATCTCCTCCGTCAAGATAAGAAGCTTCCAATGGCTACTCGCCCATCGGGCTCTCCCAGTTAACAAATGCCTAAACAAGAGAAGGAACGCTCAGTTGAGATCCCCTATGCAAGAACTATGTGCTATTTGTCAGCAGGGATTGCCAGAAGATATAGAACACTGTTTGCTAGGCTTCCAGAAAGCCAAACAATTATGGACACACGCCTTCCGACTTGGCAATGCCATCAGATGTCTCTTCTCAATTACCGACAAAACAATGCCATCAGATCAAGTTTCTCTCTTACTTGGCATACACACTCACAACGCATGGATGGAATTCAAAGTTTCCTTCTTCCACGTTCTAAGACTGGCGACCTTATGGATGATTTGGAAGCGCAGGTGCCAAGACATTTGATCACTCAACCATGGCACCCCAAGAAGCTTGGGAAGGAGTTTTGCAACTAAATAGAGGTCGAATATAGAGGACGGTGGAAAAGAACATGCAGGGAAATAGAAGAGGATATCACAAACAAGGACAAAATAATAGAAACTTTCGTAAAACACTAGTTAGGAGAAGGCAGGATTGCAATAATAGAACAGGACAAACTCCACTTCGCTCAATGGCAACATACCCAACTAAGGAGGCAAAGGATAGAAGCCCCTAGAAGTAGGACTCACCTTATGGATATATCAATAGGTGACAGATAAAGAGCGAAATACCAGCACAGACCCCCACAAAGGACACAGACCGACAACACCAACTTCCAGAATATGACCACCTCCCCGCCAAGCCGTGGAGAAAGCAAGGCTCCTAATCTGAACAGGTAGCCAGAACCCAGAGGACAGGAATAAGCGAAGGGTTTAGGGTTTAGGGTTTAGGAACGATGCACAAAAGTCCCTTGGAGAAATTGGACAGAGATGAGAGGACTAACTATAAAAATTGCGCCTCAGACCAGATTTAGGGTTTTAAGCCGAATAGACACAACAGTACGCTCAAAAGATATTGGCAGTGACCGCAGGCACCCCACGGGGTAGGAACCCTCAGATTTGGAAACTACTACACAGCTTAACAAACGTTGTTGCCCTAGTCTTACGCGTGTTTCGAACAACAGTATAGCTGTAAGGGCTAAGCAGAGGTGTAAAGTGCGGGAAAATTTCATCGAGCACCACATACATGCACCTAAGAGCCCTTAGAATAGGTTAACTTAGGCAGGGGTGAGGGGTGGTACATCCTTCCTACTGGAAGCAATTAATGTCGTCCACTTGGGCCTCTCAACCATAATGGGGAGGAGCGTGGGTGAGTCATTGTAGCATATCAGAAAGTGAAATGCACTGAAAGCCTAGGA